TCTTGTTGATCAACCCATGTCCCCCATCTCTAAAGGAATGCATCCATGAAAATGTGTAAATCTGGAGGAGGAGAAAGCGGGACATCTGCCAACATCTAAGTCTTGTTCAACCACCATTGCAGATCATCAACTAGGGTAGGAGGAAGGGTATTAAGAGCCTGCAAAGGATCCCGTGCAAGATTCTACTTGTTGAGAAGAGCCCACTGAAGAGCCAGCATATGAGCACCACCTAAGGAGATAAATGCTGCAATGTAAGACCAAATCCCCAAAAGCGATAGAACCTCGTGAGCTGTAATGGAGGGAGCAGTAAGAGCATGGAGAACTGAAAGCTCCACAGAATGAAGTCTAAGAAGAGAAGGTTGGGCACGACTGAGATGGGTGTTGAAGGAATGAACTTTCCAATTTGATAACCAGCCTACTCGAGCCACCTCCTGGAGCAGCTGATGAATGTGATGGGCACACTCCTGTTTGGAATGAGCTAACAGTAGCCAGTTGTCCATATAGTGATGAAAGCACAACCCAAGAGCACGTAGGAGATGAGCAAACACTCTGAAATATGGGACCGAAGCAAGTCTGAAGGGCAATGCACAAAACTGATAAACCACCCCATGATGAACAAACCGAAGGTATCAGGATATGCAAGTAACCATTCATAACATCAAACATCCTCCACAAAACTGGAGAAAAAGTCCACCTGAGGGTGAGAAATGATTCCATGGTAAAATGGGGTAAACTGAGAAATTAAATGAGGTGGGACAAATCTATCACAGGCTGTCAGTCTCTGGTTTTCTTGGGGACAATGAACAGATTGGAGAAAAATGATGAACAGGTTTGTTGGCCTATTCAGACAAAAGGTTGTGCTCTGCCTCTGACAGACTGGCAGGTGAGAGGATCCCAAGGCATAGGGAAGGAAATGTGTAATTGAGACAAAGGAGGACAAGTCTTTCTGAGAAAAAAACGAATAACCCTCTGATCTGTGGTGAAAGATTGCCAAAGGTGAACAAATTCGCATAATCGATCTCCCACCATACTAAAACCCACTGGGTAGTCACCGATACTGTTGGCATTGTGCCCATCTATGTTTAATAAAATGACAAGTACCTGATGATGACAAAACCTTGTCAAAACGTTGTACATTTGCTGTCATGTTAAACTTATATTAAACTTTTTCTTCATTACCCATTTAAGCCGTCTCCAGCCATTATTAAAATGACAAGGTGAGGAACCCCCTAGGGGGAGGAACAGGTAAGGGTTAAAAAGGACTGAAACAGGAATAGGGGCTTGTCATGGTTCAGACTGTGACAAACAAGCTACCAAAGAGCAAAGGATAGTGTGTTGATACACATACTCCACACCACTCCACTTTAGCTTATGGAGGGCGAGGCATGCTGGCACCCTCTACTAATTGTGAAACAAACTGCTCATTATGAACCCTAATATCTGGGGAGGGTGGAAAACTAAATATGGAGAGGAAGAACTATCATGCAACAAAGAAGGACGGAAATCGGGGAAATCGATAAAACACCCATACCTGAGAAATCATGTCTCAAAATTATGTATTAGGCCTAGCTGATTCTGCAGGTTGGGCATAGGAAGACAGGGCAAAATTCGGAGGTGAAAAAAGGCTATCAAAATTTTCATTGACCCAAACAGGCTTGGCTTGTTCAGGAGAATGGGGTTGACCCATATAATGATCAGTCTCTTGGCAGATAATCACTGATACATCCAACGACGGGTCACCCCCAGCTGCCGCCTGTGAAAGTGTGCTTGTAGGAGGTATGATACCTGAAGTGGTAACATAAACCTCAGAAATCTTTTCAGAAATATGAAACAAACAAAAATGTTTGATAGAGAAATGCAAATGTGAGAAAAAAAAATAAGGACTGGGAAACTAAGTTAAGGTAAAAAGGGTTTTCAATATAATAATAATAAAAAAAAATACCAAAGAAATCCCACTTCAGAATTGAAACTATTAAATTTATGAGTGCAAAGCACATGAAAAGCAAAAAACACCTGCCAAATGAGAAGTGATAGTTAAATACAATGGAATAAAGGGAGTCACATGCATCATGAGAGTATGTCGCACTTCTATTGGTGGAGAGTTGATGCATTGGAATCAATCAATTCTAATGGAGGGGAGATAGAAGGCTTGTGGCACATGTAAACAATTTTTTGCACATAGAGGGCAGCACTGGATGATAATAGCTATTTATGTGAGTAGAGGTAGTGTACCATATCGGAAGCAGTACATTGTAAATCTCTATGTTCTGTGAGCCAATGTCGTGTGAAATTAAAAAACTCTGAAACGACGTGGATATTCAAAATGTGACCAGCAATAGTAATTGGTTATTAAGCCAAAGAAATTCAGTATTTGGTCAAAGCATTATCTGTTCGATCTCTATCTAATACCATACAAAAAATCTGGTCAATCTATACAGATTTAATTAGTTTAACCATACAAATATCCTGGTCATTAATCTATGTACATTTAGTTTATCCAGCATGTAAGTGTTCTGGTCATCACCATGTATATTTAGTTTATCCAGCATGTAAGTATTCTGGTCATCACCATGTATATTTAGTTTATCCAGCATGTAAGTATTCTGGTCATCACCATGTACATTTAGTTTATCCAGCATGTAAGTATTCTGGTCATCACCATATACATTTAGTTTATCCAGCATGTAAGTATTCTAGTCATCACCATGTATATTTAGTTTATCCAGCATGTAAGTATTCTGGTCATCACCATGTACATTTAGTTTATCCAGCATGTAAGTATTCTGGTCATCACCATGTATATTTAGTTTATCCAGCACGTAAGTATTCTGGTCATCACCATGTATATTTAGTTTATCCAGCACGTAAGTATTCTGGTCATCACCAAGTATATTTAATTTATCCAGCATGTAAGTATTCTAGTCATCACAATGTACATTTAGTTTATCCAGCATGTGAGTATTCTAGTCATCACCATGTACATTTAGTTTATCCAGCATGTAAGTATTCTGGTCATCACCATGTACATTTAGTTTATCCAGGTACATGGTGATGACCAGAGTACTTACATTATTTAGTTTATCCAGCATGTAAGTATTTTGGTCATCACAATGTATATTTAGTTTATCCAGCATGTAAGTATTCTGGTCATCACTGTGTACATTTAGTTTATCCAGCATGTAAGTATTCTAGTCATCACCATGTATATTTAGTTTATCCAGCATGTAAGTATTCTAGTCATCACCATGTATATTTAGTTTATCCAGCATGTTAGTATTCTGGTCATCACTGTGTACATTTAGTTCATCCAGCATGTAAGTATTCTGGTCATCACCATGTACATTTAGTTTATCCAGCATGGAAGTATTCTGGTCATCACCATGTACATTTAGTTTATCCAGCATGTAAGTATTCTGGTCATCACCATGTACATTTAGTTTATCCAGCATGTAAGTATTCTAGTCATCACCATGTACATTTAGTTTATCTGGCTTTTCTGAGAATCATTTCACACAGTTTATTAGACCATACAAATTTACTATATAAACCACACAATACTTTGCTTTACAGCGTAAAACACAGGCACAACTACAACAGCCCCCCCCCTACCCCACACACACACATAATAGTTAACAACTATGAGTTAAGGGGCCCCCCATGGAATTTTGCTTCATGAGCCCCATGAGGCTTAGTTGTGCCACTATGTATAATACATATTTTATTGTATTTCATAAGTATTCATATGATTAAAAACTAAGTGTGTTACCTTATAAATATTTTGTTCATCACTGTTAACAATTAGTTTGTCTTGTTATCTTGTAGTCAGGTAAGAGAAAACAGTACAGTTTAGTTAAATGTTCTAAGTTTTTAGCTACCACTAAGCTTATTTATATCAGCTAACACAGCTTTTCTTTAATGACAATAACTGTTAACCTTCAGGAGAAGAACAACATCAGATTAAAATAAAGTTGTATCATAGTACTTAAATCAGTAAAAACCATTACTTTTAAAGATATTTCAATTAAATTTGTAACAGAAATATAACAATCAAAATAATTGCAGCTCCTGCACCAAGTCATATAAAAAAAAAGATTAAATGAAAATAATACTTTTCAACATATTTTAAGTTACTGAACTGGAAGGGTGCAGTAAGTTTACCCTCCTTTGTAATTGGGAATAACTCTAAGATCAAAACTTTTTTCCACTTTAAAGCAAGTTTTGTCAATAGCTGGGATTTATCCTACCTTAGTAAATGGATGGTCCAGAAGTTGGCTTGCACTCCAACGATTTTGAGGATCATGCTGTAGGCAGTGGTCCAAGAAATCTTGTCCTTCTTCACTAAGACTGTCAGGAATTTCTGGAACTTCTCCCATGCCTACGCGAAACATAATCTGATAGCTATTTTCCAAATCATGCCAAGGTCTCTGTGAAATACAAAATCATCACATTTCATTGGTTACCTGAACAATGTTATATGTATCAGGCCACACAATTTATGTTTGGTGGTGTGAGAACCATATAACCTACAGCTTTGTACAAGTGAGCAAAAACATCTATGAAACACTTTAAACAACAACAAAAAATATAAATGACACTCCAAGGTGACCTTCATACAGCATCTACTTACAATGTGAAATTATTAAGAATTTCAGTAGAAGTGAGAATTTACTGTTAGAGCTCATTCACTTGTTGATTAGTATACTTGTTACGACTACCCATTGCTAATACTTGAACAAAAAACCATAATTAACATTATGTGATACATGTCACTGAAGATAATGCTTTGTGCTGCTGTCTGTCCTCCTAAGTTTGTTTTTGAAGTGAATGGAGGACATTTAAATAGTTGAAGAGACATCAATTCTACTGTACTCTTAAGATGAAGTAAAATTTATAAGCTGAATTTTGATCCAAGAATAATGTAGTTAATAGAGCTTATAATAAAAAGAAGTAATAACAGTAGTACACAAGCTCAATATTTAGATATAGACATTAATTTAGCAGAAAGCAGTATAGAGTTTATTATTTTTAATAAGAGAAGGGAATTTGATTTTTCCATCCTTGGTTTACCCACCCCTAACAGTTGTTCCGTCGGTATTGTTAAAAGGGATTATTACATTCCAATTAAAAAGATTTTTAACAGTTTGTAATAACAGTAATTTCTTTTTGCATAATATTAATTTATTTAGAAATAAACTTAAAAATAATGGTTATCATGACTGGTTTATTAACATTTTTTTTGTTTACTTTTTTATAATAAATATGAAACTATATGAAAAATTATGGAAAATTTAGAGGGCATTAGTTACTTGGTTTCAGTAGCTAATTGTCACTTTTAGAATAGTTCAGTATACCAGGGCGGGCAGACCAACTTCAGATAGATGGGCTTGTCTCAGCTCACCTGGTTTATGCTTGAATGGTAAGGATCTTTTATTATTTTGATTAACATAATTTATACTATCAAATACAAGGGTGGAGGTTGGAAGTTCTGTAGAAATAAAGGGTGGCTTAGTTATATTATAAAAATATTATATTATTATTTATAACATCAATTAAAAGGGTGGACACTGGGAGTTTTACAAATGGCTGCAGACAGCAAAAGTCAGTTTGAGTTGAGACCTTGTGGGTTCAAGCACTCAATTCCTAACCCTTAACTGATTCTCCTTTGTTTCTGGCAAGTTTTACATCAGTATTTGGATTTTGCCTGATAGATGGAATATCCCCAATGCATTTAGGTGCTATGACCACAGACATTACCCTTTATGACTTAAGGATGACAACAAGGAATGATAACAGAGGCATAATTTTGAGTTTCAATTTTATTATATTGTTTCCGGTTTATATTAAGTTCATTATTGTTTTATAGTGCTGATATTAATCACCTATGAACAATTAATGTATTGCATAACATTATATATTGTTAAATAGTAAATTACTGTACAAACTGCTGAAAGATAATGAAACTCAAAATTAATCAAATCTTAACACTCACACACATTCATTTTTATTTAACATATTTATTTATTTTATTTTACATTAGTTTATGTATACATTGTTTGGTGTATCAAGATTAAGGGTGGAGGGCAGGAATATTATACTAAAAACAAAGGACACTATTAGAAAATGTGTAAATACAAGCATAGATAAAATGGTAAAAAGCTGTTCTCAATTACTCAGATCAATTTTAAATGTTATTTACATAGTAGATTAAGGTATTTTGTATTTACAAAATATAAGAATTTAGGTAGATAAATAGCAATATGCACAAAATAACATTAAACCTACTATTATCTCTACCTTTAATTTACAGTTTTCTGTATTGAGAAAGGTTTCCCTAATTAACTAAAAACTATGTAACTTTTTTGACATCAAGTAAATCAAAATACAGACCATCATTATACAACAGAAGTAATTAATTGAATAAAGTTAAATATTTTATTAAACAATATCAGAAATATGTCACTTTACTAGTTTGTAATTCATATCACCATAAATAATTGCAGTATCTTCTGTTTCGCACATGTTCACTGCTATGTCATACAACTACATATACTGCAGTATTTGTTTATATCTGCATCACTATAGATACTTACTATGCCTGTTTCGCACATGTTCACTGCTATGTCATACAACTACATATACTGCAGTATTTGTTTATATCTGCATCACTATAGATACTTACTATGCCTGTTTTTCACATGCTCATTCAGGTGCTTATTGTACTTGTCTGGCACACATTTACATCTGGATTGGTACAGACACTTATTGTACTTGTCTGGCACACATTTACATCTGGATTGGTACAGATACTAATTGTACTTGTCTGGCACACATTTACATCTGGATTGGTACGGATACTAATACAATAAGTATCTGTACCAATCCAGATGTAAATGTGTGCCAGACAAATACAATAAGTATCCGTACCAATCCAGATGTAAATGTGTGCCAGACAAGTACAATTTGTCTGGCATACATTTACATCTGGATTGGTACAGAAACTTATTGTACGTGCCTGGCACACATTTACATCTGGATTGGTACAGATATTTATTGTACGTGCCTGGCACACATTTACATCTGGATTGGTACAGATACTTATTGTACTTGTCTGGCACATATGTTGACATCTGGATTGGTACAGATACTTATTGGACTTGTCTGACACATATGTTTACATCTGGATTGTTACTGGTGTTTACTGTACTTGTTTGACATGCATGTTTACATCAAGATTGCTACAGGCACTTATTGTACTTGCCTGGCACATATATTTACATCAAGATTGCTACAGGTACTTATTGTACTTGCCTGGCACATATATTTACATCAAGATTGCTACAGGTACTTATTGTACTTGCCTGGCACATATATTTACATCAAGATTGCTACAGGTACTTATCGTACTTGCCTGGCACATATATTTACATCTGGGCTTCTACAGGTACTTATCGTACTTGTCTGGCACATGTTTACACCTGGACTGTTACAGGTATTCATTGCACTCATCTGACACACATGTTTACATCTAGTTTGCTACAGGTATTATTGTACTTGTCTGACATGCATGTTTACATCTAGATTGTTAAAGGTACTTACTGTAATTTAGGTTTACACTCTGATAAATGGCTTGGGTTCTAATATTATGCAAAGGCTGCTCAATTAATTTTAATTATAATTTTATAGTTCTTAATCCTCAGTGTAAAATCATCTCAATTACAATACCACAGTAACAAATAGGATATGGTGCAAGAGAAAAGAATGTTTATACCTCTTGTATAATCTCAGAAATCATTATTTTTTTTTATTATTATGACAAAATACTATCTCACATTACTATTATGTTTCTTTTTATTTGGATAGTCTCCCAACATATTCACCTTTTTTGTGTATGAAGTAAAATGATTTGATCTAGCTTACGTTAATAATTTTCCAATAATTTCATTCTTTTGTATACAAGAAATAATACTTAATTCTTCACATCTAACTAAACTATTTTAAGAAGATAATCATGAATTACTTTCTGAATGATGAAAGAATACACAGTACAGAGCTATTTCATCCATTATTCCCAGATAATCTAAACTAATCTATTAATCAGTAAGACTTTCTTGTAGACACATGATGAGAGTAAGATACAGAAACAGGTGTAATGAAGCATCTGTACTATAAAACCATCAAAAGGAAACTGGAGATGCCATAAGTACTTTTAGAAAAGGCACAGGCTACATTTTATCCAAACATTGGAACATTTGTGAGTGTATGAAACATTTTGTTGTTCAACTTCTGTCTCAACCAAAATAGTTAATAAACTAGAAAATTAAATAAGACTGTATCTTCCAATGGTCATCATCCTTTATCAAAGCCAGGATGGCCAATTTAAACTCCTATACTAATGACACATGAAGAAAATAATAAATGAATCTATGGAATATATGCTGCTCACAAGCTAAATACAAATGTAAGTAATAAAAGATATCTATAATCGTCTTTTTACTTTCAGAATATCCTCTCCCATTAGAATCTTTTACAATAAATTTAAGCTGGGAGCAGAAACTTGTATCAACATTTCTATCTCATGTTCTTTTCCACTCTATCAAGTAAAGACAGAGTAATTAATACCACATAATGATTAAATAATGATACAACCTTGTTCTATGTAAGGCTGGTTTCCTATGATTTCCTGGCTATCAAGTTTTCCTCACTATTCATTCAAAACCTAGGCAGGGGTGGAAGGATTCAAAACACCCATGTGACATCTGTAATTTTAAGCTTGAAGCAGGTAGTAAATTTAAAGCCAAGATACACCTGTACATAGTGCTACATTTATTCTTTAAAGACTTTTTTTCCACTTGGGTCTAGAATATCCACTACACATAAGGCAAGAGCCTGAAGATAAAAATTTGATAAATTCAAACAAGATAGCAAACTGGCATTTTGAATATGTACTTACAGCTCTGCTTGTCCAAAATGTTTGAAACATGGCTCAGAAAAAAAATAAATAAAAGTTCACTATATTAAACGGAAATGTGAAAAAAATCTTATAATTTTCAAGAAACAAGAAGAGATGAAATTTAAAAAGCATGAAGAGTTTCGAAAAATAAAATATATCATAGGTAAAAATGATATGGTTCATATTAACCAGACTGACAAGATGAGAATGGAAAAGACTAACATTTCAATAACCTAAGTTTGCCTGGTCAAGAGTATTACATAAATTTACCAAAGGATGCTCCAACATATCAGCAAAAAGCAGGTTTTGGTTTGAAACATGGCTCAGAAAAATATTCAAAAAAATACTTTTGAGATGGGAAAAAACTTGGATTTTAAAACAAACAAAAGAAATGAAATTTAAGAAAATGTATGAAGAGTTCAGAAGAATCAAATACAATGCTGAGAAAAATGGAATGGTTCATGATGAAATGAGCATGGACAAAATTAACATTTTATTAACTTAAATGTGCTTGGTAAACATTTAAAAAGACTTATCAAAGGATGTTCAATTAATCAACAGCAGATTTTGATGTAACTTCTACTATTTTATTAAAATATTTAAGATAATAAAAACTTGTTGCTGAATGACAAGTTTTACCTACTGAAACAAAATATTTACTGACAAAAATTATTGATGTCATCATAAATACATGTGTAATACCAAAAATAAACTGGAGTTCCTGAATGGCAACATGGGCAAGACCTTGCAAAATTCATTCTTTTCATTATGGTTCATTCCTAAAATCGAACTTACACGAGCTGAACTCATCTCCAGAACAACACAGCCCACACTCCAAATATCAGCTGCTCTACCATGGCCTTCTGTTATGTTGCGTGTAAATACTTCTGGAGCCATATATGCTTTGAAACAGATAAAAAAAAATCACTTTTTGGTACGATGATAAAATCTTTGATAAGGGAACAGAGAATATATGTATATTAATGATAAGGTAAGAAATTAATAATCCTAAATATATATATATGTGTGTGTGTGTGTGTGTGTGTTTAAATTATTAACAACTCTGAACATGTAAAATGTTTACAGTTATTAAAA